TCTATTTTCTCCAAACGGATACCAACTAAAATAACAAGAATAATTTCATTGGCATAGAAAAAGTCTTTAATTCTCCATCTGTTTCATTGACATGAATGTCTCTCATCATCTTAAAATATAAAAATTATCTACTCCTTTCTCCAATAAGTCAAGAAAAAACAAACAAAATCATAAATTTATATCTATCAAAAAGAAACCGTTATGATTTCATTTGAATATTGAATCCAACCAGAAAATTACAAGGATCTATTGGAGCAACCAAGAAGACTTCAATGTTATATTTAGAAAACTAATCAAATGATAAATTGTTCAAATAAATAAGAGTAATTTGGGGATTTGAAAAAAAAATCTGAATGAGAACCTTTTTCAAAGTTAACTAATGAAACTCCAATGAAGGGGGTATTTGTACAAAGTGAAAGTTTAAGGGGTCTTTGTCACAAATGAAAGTTCGAGGGGTATTTGTCACTAACCCCATAGTATAAGGGGGTCTTTGTAATTTATCCAATCATGGTTAATTGTGTTATTTTTCCACTATTTAACTTATTTATAGAAAAATATAATTTTTATACTAGATCAACGGTGTAGATCATCTCAAATATTATATGGGAGATGCATAGAATCAAAACACTAGGTGGGTTGAATCACACCACAACCTATGGAACACCTTTATAGGTGTGGTGTTGTTCAGTCTGCAATTTGTCTATGCTATAGAACAACTCTAGACTGGTATGGAACGGACTTATTCACATCACCCAATTTCACATCCACACTATAGAACAATGCCTATATCTTTCCAAACTAATGATCCAATTCTTTTATAATGTGTGTTATGTAATGTTAAAAAAAGTAAATGATAGAGTACCATCCTGTACTTTGGGAATAGTGATACATAGCCCCTGAACTTCACTTGTGACAAATATCCCCTTGAACTTTAATTAAGACTCCAAAAACTTTGGCCCCTCTCCATTAACTAGATTGATAGAAAAGTTAATTTATTAAAATTCCCTTTAAGATTCATATGGGTGAAAGGATGACATTTCAAAATGATAAAAATGGGCAGTGCAAAGCACATTATCTTTTTTTCATCCACTTTGGATGAGAAAGAAGAAAAAAGAAGTAAAGGGAGGGTTTAAACTAAGGGTGCACATAAAAAATCAAAAATACAAAAAACCAAACAAAACTGAGGAAATAAAATAAAAAATTCAGATAACTAAAGCAATTTATTCGGTTTTGACCCAAACCTAGTCCATTGATATAGGGATGCAAATAGATCGGGTCGGATTTGAATCAGGGTATTTCCGAATCTGATCTGACACTATTCATGTTAGATCCAATATGATCCGAAGATCCGATCGGATCTGATAGGACTCAATTTGAATTTGAATCCTATCGATAAGTCAGATCTTTGGTTCTGATCTGATCTTATCCGACTTATTTTCTTTAAAAATTAATAAATTAATAAAAGAAAAATAAAATATACTAATTTAAATAAAGTAAAAACAAAAAATACAAGTATTTTTTAATTATTTTCATCATATACATGTTTTTTATAAAAAATAAATTATATAATAAATTTATAAAATATAATATAAAAATATCTATAAATAAATAAATAACATATATATGTATTATATATATATATATTTATTTATTTATAGATATATAATATATCGGATTGGATCTTCTTGGATCAGATAGGAGGATGATCAAATAGGATCGAATCTCGGATCAAATCCCGATCCATTTGCACCCCTACTTTTCACCTACCTTAATTCTCTTCCTACCAAGTAGGGACCACATAAATCATTCAGGATCGTGTTTTAATTTGTGGTAGTGATGATACTCTTCCGATTCCAATTCTCTTTCATATCAAGCAGGTGTGAACAAAACTCTTTCAAATTGGTCAAGATGGGAATTGAAATCTGAATCGATTCTGATTCTAGGTGATTTCAATTTTTGGTTCCAATTCTGACCCTAACCGTGAAGCAAATAAACCCAATGTTTCTTCTATATTTTTACATTAGTTTTCTCTATCTATCTATCTATCTATCTATATATATTATTTTTTTTTCTTTAACTTTATATATTAATATCATCATCATCATTTTACACCTAAGCCTTGTCCCAACCATATTGGGTTGGCTAGATGAGTCTCGTTTTTTCATGGTTAATCTATGGGTGCCATTTTGATGATTAATATGAGTGCTTAAATCATTTCTTATTTCCTCAACCCAAGTCTTTTTCGATTTTCTCATAACTCCTTTAGTCCCTTCGACTTGTAATAAATCACTTGTCTTAACAAGTATTGTAGATGGTCTCTATGCATATGACCAAATGATCTCAATTGAGAGCAACTTAGCTGAATTTTGTAACATACTGGCCTGTAGCGACCAATAGAAGCCCATATTGAGTCATTCCATATCAGTCAATACAGACCCGATACAGACCATCAGCTACATTTCGATTTTTTTATCATGGCAACACTATTCCCTCTCTCTCTCTCTAATAACTCTTTTAACTACTCTCTATAACCCCTATAGTTATAGAGAGTAATTTATCATATGCTTTAAACTAACTCCTTTAATTAATGTTACAAATTCGAATTTATCATATGCATTAAACACACTTTAAACTGACCATAAAAATTGCAAACAAGAGGATGTGAACCCTAGTCCTTAGTTTGTAATGATCATAAGTCTACCATTGCACCATATTATAATTGCTTGTCATAAATATACACACTTTAATTCTTAAATTTTCTCTTCCTAAAGAATGTTTGGTAATAAATGCTAAAATTGATTATTAAAATTTATATAATAATAAAAAAATAATACAAACTATATTGATTTTATGAAAACTAATACATTAAAATTAAAATTCTTCCATCATTTTTCATCGATTATCAAATGTGTTGCGATGTGTCACAATGTATATGAACCATTTTTATGTTTAAATAACTGAACTATAGTCATATAAAACTTATATTTATATAGTCATTAATATAATTTTTATGATTTATTCAATAAATATCTTGATTTTTTGTCCATATTCATATATATATCCAAAGAATATCCTGATACATTCTCAACAGCCTACAATGGGCTGTGGGGCGCTCTGTTTAGAACACATCCAATATTCAAGAAGAACAAATTGTCCCATATCTGCAATATTCATAATGGGTCTCGACCACAATCTCAATAAATGTGGACCACAATCTCAAAGTAATAAGACACTTCCAAAGCCTCTGTAAGAAAGTACCTCCTCTTCCTCTCCAAAACACGGTTGTTGTCAACCAATTCTCATAAACTTAAAAAGAAGCTAGGGCCTAGGGGTAGGGGGTCACTCTGGAGGTTTTATATTGCTGGAATAGCAGTATTGGTAACCTCTCTGCAACTGCGAACCCACTTAATTCAGCTCCAAATTGAGAACCGATTCAACACTACACGTCTCCCATCTCAAAGTCTCCCTCCTAAATACTGATGGTATATGGAATTAAACACTTCTAAATGAGACCTTCGACCCAACAGTCGTCCCACATATATTGGCCATTCAGCCCAACCCAGAATTGGAGGTGGACAAAACGGTATGGAAGAAAACCCACTTAGGATATACACTGCGCTCAGCCTAGCAGCCCCTTCCACTACTCACTTGAAATGGAGCCTAATCTTATCTGGAGGCTTAAGATTCCTATGGAAATTTTTATGGGATGGTCTCTTAACAAAAAAACGAATGTGACAAATGGCTTAAACCTGAAGGTTTAGATGCGTATTTTGTGCTGTAAACAAAATGAAGATCCTCATCACCTCCTTTTTGCCTGTCCTTTTCCCGGGCTATTTGGTGCCAGTTACAACCACACACATGACTACAGTTCTAAATAGACACCCTCAAAACAAACGTCACTGAACTGCAAGTTCTCCTCTGGAAAGGATTGCGTCATCCTTTACTTCATGGGGGAAGGAAGAAATAAATTACTGTTTGATGAGGCCAGGTTACACCCATATCCACAATTGAGTAGGACTCAGTCACAGCTAAATTGTGCAACAAACAATGAATATTAAGATGGGTAAGTTTATTTTTCTGGGTCTCTCTCCTAGGTGGATAAATAACTTTCCCACATTAGGGGAAAGTCTTCAACACTTGAAAGGGACAAAAATGCCCCTTGTAATAATGGATTTTTGTAGATAAAATGGTCATTACCTTATTTACATGGGAAATAAAAGAACATGGATAAATGCACTTACTCAGATAAGCCTTTCCTGGAAAACAATTACCTGGGTAAGTGCATTTACCGGATAAACTAAAATACGAAGAGGGCCTAACATTAATATCACAGATCATGCTCTATTCCAAATCTATGGTTCTCATGATCCCTTTTCAGGTCGAGCGGGATGAACATTATCTAATGTCCCAATGGCAGCAACATCATTATCGCTCAAGGAAAAAACCATGTTGGGTAACAGGAAGCTACGATACAACGCCGAAATTTCAGCCTTGGTAACCTATCAAAAGTTTTACAGGAAAGTACGGACAGGCCCAATGCAGATTTCTGATTTCCACTACAGAACCAGGAACATTCAAAATGTCAAAAATCCTACTCTACACACCAATGCCCGCCTGTGAATTGGCATCAATTCTAAACTGGCACCCACCCCAACTGTACTTTGGGCCTAAAAATTCTGACCCTGGGTTCGCTTCAACTTATGAACCAGTCACTAACTAAAGCGACAAATCATATTACTGGATTGTGAAGTTGAACAGCAACATGTGGGCCGTATTAGACTAAAACAGCTTTGGTTCCACCTTTTGGGTACATGTAAAAAAGGACCAAATCACAGCGAATAGCATGTAAAGTTTGATTTTAAATAAAGAAAGCTGCTTCCTTTTATTTAGCACAAAAAGAAACATGGNGGGGGGGTATCCAATTCAACAAAAAGCAAACATGAAAGCGTCGACAAGAAAAATCCCGCATTCGCCCTGAAAACCTTAGCCCGCTCAAACAATTGTGAGAACTTTGAGAAATGTGCTCTTAACTTAAACAACATAAATGAACATGGACAAAACATCAAATTACCCAGCTCTTAGTTCCTGAGAAAGAAAATTGGGGCTTCTTTCAGAGTGACTACAATTCAGATAAAAAAATCTAACCAATATGGCCTAAAAGTCTCAGTCAAAACCCTCAGGTTGCTTGTATTGAAATTCAGGCTAAGAAATCAAACTGATACAACTTCTGATCACTTTTTTAACCCTCACTTTGTTCAAATTCGTAAGAAACAACTTCCTCTGTGACTTCCAATACTTCCTCGACCTCCACTTCTTTGGCCTCGTATTCCTCTTCTGCATCACTTGCTTCCCCATCCCTCAACATTTGCCTGTAGGCCTTCTCTTCTTCATGATACTGCTTCCATTGCATCACCCACCTGTCCCATTCCTCCTGTAACATCCTCCTCTTCTCACGATCCTGCTCACTCAAGAGTAATGATACATCCTGATCCTCTGCCTCATACTTTTTGCTATACTTCTTCAGGTTCTTTGCAATCTCTTCCTCTTTCTCCACACTCAAGAAAGATGGTGGCCTTGGACGCCACAAGAACTGGCAGAGCAACAGGAAGTATAAGAAAATGAAAGTCACTAGAACATAGTGAGTGAGGTTCTGATAAATCTATTTTCAAGAAACACAACTTATGCCAACTTATGACTAAATGATAGTAAAGAATCCTGATGACATCCGCATATAGGATCAATATGACCACATGATTCCAGTCACCAGACCCAGCCATCCAAAGTATGACAAGAAATAATAGAGGATCAACAGAAAGGAATCAATTGTTCATGCGCAACATATCAATCATCAGTGTGCACCATTACACGAGACAAATGTACAAGGGGGTAAATGTTTACAAAATTTCTATCAAGGTATTTGTATATTTACCTGACAGAAATGATCTCTCGGTATCCTGTATAGAAGCTTCCCATTGAAGGACCAGATATTAAATCCATTTTCCATCTCATGAACTGAAGTAACAGAAGTTGCAACATATCTACAAATCCAAAGGAAGCAGACAAATTAAATATTCATCCTTAAATCTTCACTGTTTCTGGGGAAGGGGAGGCATAGGAGTATTATCTATCTTGAAAGAAATTAATCCTACTCAATTTTCAATAAAAAGAGATAAGTTGCATTTGGGGGTGTCCATGGATCTGTCTGGTCCAGAAATACCCATAACAGACCTTTAACATAGGGTTTTCCAGAACCAAAAAACCAAATTGTCCACAGCCATACACTATCAGGCGCCTCAAAACACAACCATTTGGAATAGAATTATATAAATACACTGCATTTGAAAACCTTTAACAGATATCATATAAATAAAAAGAGCAAGCCAAAACACCAAGAATTCTTCAAAGATAATAGTCATCTATACCATAGTTGGTCAAGGCGAAACCTAGGCATGTAGGCGCTTTTTGGGTCTTGCCTTGCCCAAACGCCATAGGATAAGTCTATAACCTGTTGTAAGTTTTGCATATTTAATATGCTTTTATATTTTAAGTCTATAATATAAACATAGACATGATGCACCGAATCATTATTTTTATTTTTTTTATATTATAATAATTTTTATTAACTTTTTTTATCTTTCTAAGGTTTATAATAGATAAAATATTTGAAGATGAGTTCAAGAGATATGATATTCGAAGACAAGTTCAAGAGATATCCTCATCAAGGTTCCAAGTTGTATGTCTTTGAAGAAGAGAGGGAAATCGATCACATAATGTAGAAGGTATGCTTTCCGTTCTTCTTTTTCTTCTGGAACAAAAAACAGGGGCCCCACCCCTTTTTCTTTTTTTGGAACAAAAACAGGGGCTCCACCCCTTCTTTCCTCCTCTCTTCTTCTTCTTCATATTCTTCTGCTGGAACTAAAAACAGGGGTCTGTTTCTTTTTTCTGGAAGAAAGATAGGGGGCTCTGCCCTTCTGTTATTTCTATTTCAATGGCAAAAATAGGGGTTCATCCCCTTTTTAAGCACTCCCCTGTCACCTAGGTTCGCCTTGGCACCTTGAAAACTATGATCTATACCCTACAAATTTTAAATTCATAGACTTGTACAAATTCCTAATTGAGTATTAACGCATATACCCAATTTTGACATGGATAATTATGGCACCCAGATCGAGAGTAAGGTCCATGCCATAATCACAGAGGATTGTTGAACTTTAATTGTTTTCAAATCCCAAATACCATAACAAATGATATATAATGAGAGAAAAAAACAAGCATAAGAGAAGTTTCCAAAATATTTAATATACCTCCCAGTAGGATCCCATTCAATGTCAGTTGCCATGAAATGCTCGCCTGTTGCCATAGTCTCAAGCTCATCAACATTGTAGAATTCCAATTGTCCATTAAAACTCTTCAACCCAGCAAGGATAATGAAGCGCCCAGAAGGTGACCAGTAAAGTGCATTGGCCTGCTTGCCTTTCAGAGTTATGAGCTTCGAGACCCGGCCTGTGTTGTGAGATGTCCGCATTGAGTAGAAGCTTATGTCAGGCTTTGGGCTATCTCCATGGATAACTGCAAATCGGTGACCTTTTGGCTCCCAAGCAAAAGCAACAATCTTGTCATTCTTATTCTCAAGCTCCAAAACTTCAATGGGAATGTCTCGTTCTTTTATGCGGAAGAGCTCAAAGCCAGTATATGTGCTTTTCTTTGTTTTCGTGTATCTATCAACCTTAACAGCAAGGTAATCGCCATTGCTTTGCCAGTACATTTTGCAGTCACTTACACTGAAGAGATTCTTCTGCCTCAGCTCCTCTTTCCCAGGGATTTGAACAAGACTAACCTGTAAACAGAGTAAAACTGAGAAAATAAATAGATACTATCATTCTAAAATGGACTCCTCATTTAGAAAGCTTCTACTACTCACCCTGGCAGGTTGGTTCCCACCACCTAGCTCTGGAACAAATAATGCAAGGATAGGATCGGTAGGTGACCAGCTGAAGTCTAAGACATTCTCAACCTTCAATGACTTTTTGTCAATGAGGGTGAATGTTTCAGTTTCATAGACAGATACAACATTTTTACCTATTCTAGCAAAATATTTGTCATCTTTTCCACCACCCCATCTGAAAATGTAAGGAAATGACAGTCATCCATGAAATGAAAGAAACCAAACAATGTTGCTCAACAATGGGTGCCTTAATAAATATGTGCAAGAAAAGTCACCTGAAGACAGGCCATGACACTCCAGAAACACCCCCAGCTCCACCAGTTGCAAACTCATCTGCACTTCCCTTGAAATCTCTCATAATTTTTCCAGTCCTCGCATCAAAAATATTCAATACAACCCTCTAAATTAAGAGTATGTCAGCACGAGAGATGGAGCATTTGGATAAAATAAAAAAATATTCCCAAGGCATAAAAGTACTCACATGTGTGTCGCGGGGATTGCTTGGTTCGTGGCTGCTATATGTAACCAAATATTTCTCCCCAGGAGAAAAATCAATGAGTTTAACCTGTATTCATTTCACTAAAGCAATTACAAACAAAAATGAAAGCAAGATAATCAAATAGAAAAAAGTGAAATTATGAACAGTAAGTAACCTGTGGATGGGCATAACGCATTAGGCGGTTGAAGGTAGTGGCACCTCCCCAAACAGCAGCTCCCTGCCTGTGAACTGTGGCCAAGTAAGTGCCAAGTGGGGACCATTGAACAAAACTCTCAGTCCAAAACTGCCAAACAGGGCAAAAGTTTGATCATTTATATAACTTCTTAAAGGGTAAAAGGTAAATAATTAAATACGCAAAAAGGAGAAAAAGGCAACTTAGACACAAAAAGGAAGAAATAGATAAGTATTGGCTCAAATTACCAAAAAATTAAATCAAAATAAGTTTTTTAGAAAAGCAAGGAGACAATAGAACCTCAGATGCACTAGGCATGACCTGATCAAGCATCATGAGAAGCCTCAATTTTTGGAGAAAGAAACATGAACTTAAATGAAGAAATGAAAAATTAAAATGATAAACGATACCTCACTTGCTGTAGATGATAAACTATGTAAATGATTTATAACATAAACAAGTTATGAGTCTTGTGACACAAAAGTACCTCAATTAAGATTTAAAATTTAGTTATTTACAATTTTACGTATAAAACCAAACAGTAGTCAGCAATTTACCTTAAGGATATATAAGTTGCAGTCCTACAGGTTCCAGTCCAATCCCAACAAGTAGATAGAACAAATGATCAAGAATAGTAAGGAACAATATTTCCACCTTTAAGGAAAGAACTTTCACTTTAAAGGAATGAACTCCCACCTTTTTAATCAGTAGGCATGACTTTCAACATTGAGCCTTGGACAATTTCCTAGATCCTTGCTTTCAGGATAAGCCTTAAGCTGTAACCCTCACTTTTTTTATAGTAATTAACCCATGAGAGACCTTTGAAAAACACTAAATCACTGATCATTACCACTTAAGATGGATAATACTAACACATCGTTACCCGATTTGATGGTTCCCTCAAATTCCAATTCACAACTCAAATTCCATGACCCATAAAAATAACCCAACTAAAAGTAGATTAAATGATCAATGTCCATGGTTCTTATTGATGTGGTGTTTGGCAAGATTGCATTTTCTTTGTTTGGTTCTACTTATTATGAACATAGCAATTTGAATTGGGAGATGTTTCATTACATGTCTCCATCATTGTGTAAAATAGTGAAGCATGTAAATTTTCATTTTTCAATTTTATGCAAGAACAAACTCTGCTAATGTGAGCTTGTCTAATACTGCCGGTCCCAAACTAGGATAAAGGAAAGTTGCATCAAGTTGGCAGCTAGCACTAAAATTTTTTGCTGAACTCTCATGATAATGGATCCTAACTTCTCTTTTCGTGATCATGCTAGGGCATTCTCCAGAAATGGTGGCTATAACTTAACCCCATTGTAATGTCAAGTGGGCAAGGATGGGGGGTAGGACAGTCCCCAAAGCGACGACCCACAACAACAATGCCCAATTGTGGTTGTTAAATAGTCAAGGGTTCCCGTATCCTTCTCGACATGGGCATGTAACGAAGCTAGTCCAAGATGCATGATTTCGCTTAGCCACTTGGAATCAGTGTTTTAAAAGTACAAGGCGCAAAAAAGTGCAAGGAGCATTTTATACCCTAGGCACAAGGCAAGGTGCAAAAATGCAAAACAAAATAAAAAATAAAAAATAAACAAAATATCAATTAAAAATATTAACTTGAATTTTAAAATAAATGTTTATAAAACATATTATCTCAACCTAAAATACATAAACATAACATGCAAAACATATTCAAAATGATAATTTAAATACAATTACTTCCTACATATAGACAATCTAAGATTTTGGTAGTTGGTACTCCATGTTGACATGTGATTCATCTAGGCAGGATTCAACCTTCATCCCTCTATCACATTGTAAATGGTATGGCTTCTTCTTGATCAACCTTATTTACTTGAAAAGAAAATCTTGAGGCCTTATATCTCAGTGGTGGGTTCAAGGAGAAATGGAGAAAGCAAAGTTTGTGCAGGAGTTTGGAGAGAATGAGAGATGAAACTGGCTATGGTATTCCCGGGGCTGCGAACATGAAGGATTTTGGACCAATAAGCTTAATATGCAGCCCTTATAAGCTCTTGGCCAAAGTTTTATCAAATGGGCTGAGAAAAGTGCTCCATGAAATAGTAGGGGAAATTCAAATGGCCATTGTGGTGGCAAGTGAGTGCATATATTCAAGATTGAAAAGTGGAAGGCCTGGTCTAGTGCAAATTAGATTATAGAGAAGGCTTATGATCATGTGGAGTGGGGATTCTTGGAAGAAATTCAAAGGCTGATGGGATTTGGAGAAAAATGGAGGAGCTGGATGTATGGGTGCATCTCTTCCGTATCCCTTTCATTAATCCTTAATGGGGTCTCTTCGAAGTTCTTTCAAGTTTCTAGTGGGCTGAGACTAGGGGATCCTTTGTCCCCTTTACTGTTTGTGCTGGTAATGGAAATTCTAAATCTGTTGTTAAGGAGGGGAGTTTAGCAGGGCTGCTTAGAAGGATTCAGTGTAGGGTCAAAGGGGCCAAGCATTTCCCGTTTACAGTTTGCAGATGATACTCTCATTTTCCTAAACGCAGAGGAGGATCAAGTTCTGAACTTGGAGCATTATTAGTTAATTTTGAGCTGCTAACAGGTATGAAGGTGAATCTGGAGAAAAGTACCCTGATTGGAGTTGGAGAGATCAGCCAGGAAGAGATATCACTTTTAGCAGCAGCTTTAGAATGTCAGATAGGGAGGCTTCCCTTTTCCTATTTAGCCTCCCAGTAGGGGCCAAATATGGGTCAGCAAGCGCGTGGAGACCCCTTATAGAGGGTGGAATTGAGGTTGGAAAAATGGAAAGCAAGATATCTCTCTCTTGGGGGCAGAGTTACCCTCATAAAAATGCTCTCGAGTCTCCCCACTTACTGCCTTTCACTGCTGAAAATACCAACTACTGTTGCCAAGAAGTAGAAAAAATCCAAAGGGATTTCCTTTGGGAAGAGGCATGTATCTTGACAAGTGAAACGTTGTGCCATACAAGCTGGAAAAGGAAGAATCTGAATCCACTTACAGTGCGGCGATAGACAAGCTCAGGCTTCAGTTGTCTAGGATCATTCCATAAAACCTCAGTGTCATTACCAGCACGAATAACAAATTGATCACGTGCTTTTTCATCAGTTAGCCACTTCTGTAGATTTTCCTGCAATAGTATATAGAATTGTATTATGTATTAAATATCCAGCAAACATGACATTGAGTATTCAATATCTTTCGAAAGAAGTGCAAATGGATAGAAGTAGGAAAATAATGAAAAGAAAAAAACTTATTGCTAACACAATCAGGACATGCAAACAGACAATAATAATTTCTTCTGCCTTGGATCCATCAAAAATGAGACAAACTGTGGATAAAGTCAGAATTACCAAAGCTTTAACACATTATTTTTTAATTACTTCCCATAAATTTATGGTCCAGGATAATTCCCAAAACTTTTAACAATGAAAATGGGATTATATTTGCAAAAAGAAGAAAAAAATGAGAAATTTGCAAGATTAACACCAAGAAACAAAATACAGTACGCCCTTGCCCCCCCCCAAATATTTCTAATAAACCAAATATAGAGAAAAAATATGAGAACCCCTCTTTTACTTATTAAAAAAACATGAAACCTCCTAAAAACTTTAATTTGACCAATGCTTCTCCAACAATGAAAATCTCCCATTAGTTTACAAATATATCACATGAAAACTACTCCAAACAATTAGTTTGAATTGAAAATTACATGTCAATATATGCCAATTACCAAGATATCTGAACTCAGATATCTAGAATACTACAAAAATATATGTCCAATATTTAGACAGTAAACCAGTTCAGTTAGTAGAGAATAAGAAATATATATAGTTGAACATGCACACCAAATCATCTATTTGTTTATCTTTTTTTGATCAATACTGAAACTTTTCATTAAAAGACATCAAAAAGGTACATTAGGGTGTGTACATTAAGTGAAACAATGAGAGATAACCCTTCTTATCTCTCTCCGATCACAAGTATTTTCAGAATCCTTAATTACAACTGAGCCCAAACAAATCGAGTTCTACCCGTCCCTTGTCTAGCAAGAGCATCGGCAAATGAATTTGCACTTCTCTTTACCCACTGTACTCTCACATCCATGTTTTCTGTTTACTTCCTAAACTTTTCCTTCTCATTATTATACATCCAATGACTCGGATCTTTTATTTTGCAACCAGTTCACCAGCTTTGAGTCTCCCTCAAATATCAGCTTTTTAACATTGACAGAAATTGCTCTTTGTTGTCAATAATATCAGTTTTGCTTCATTCTTCCTCTGAAAAAAAATAAGAAAACTGAGATTCTTTTCTTCTAATAATACCCAGCATGTGGCAGCTGTTATGCATCTCCACAACATCCTACCCCTCTTATTTGGCAACTGACAAAGGTAGAAGCAAAACACTCTTGCATATTAGCCAGGGGAATCCACCTGCACCCAAACAAGGAAGAAAGCCAAACCCAAATGCAAGGAGAGAAAGAACAGGAGATTAATAAGTGATGGCAAGTCTCACCATTGGCTTTGCATAACACACACCATTGAGGAGACGGGCACTGATTTTGCCTCTTTCTTTGAATTAAGTCATTGATATTGATTTTCTCCAAATAAACTCCCCACAGAAAGCCCCTATTCTAGGAGGAATAGCTTGGCATCTCTTTGACAGAAAAGATGGACCTGCTATGGGAAGGTATTGGGATAAGGCCTTGAAAAATGAAGCAACAGAGGAGCCATATAGGGAAAAAGTCCAACTCCTATGATCAGCACTCTATGGGTCCACATCTATTTGTTTATTCTTTATTTCAATTTTTCAATATTATGACCACCCAATGTTAGGGAGAGAACAATGGAGACAAATGACATCAAAGACCTCCAGGAATATTGTAACACTAAAAGAAATCAACTAAATAATTTATACATTATTAACCAGTTATTTCAAGCATCAAGCATCCATACCAAACACAATCAAGGATTCAATAAGATTCAGATACATCACTAGTTTCTACTATCATAGCATTCACTAAATCATAATATGTTGAATTTTGTTACCAAAAGCAAAATAATCTGTAAACCAAAATCTTCTCCCAGATGCAAAATCATAAACCCTAAAAATATAATTAACTAGTGAATGAAGATCACTTCACTTCCCAAGTTGCAAAAAGAATTAAAAACAGATAAAAGAAATAGAAGATATGATAGAGGAAAAACCTGTCACACTATATTGGTGATTTGGATTTGAGGATGATTACATATAATTGCCAACTTTCCTTCATCAATTTAATTCAGTAGAAGGTAAGCACCCACAAAAATAGGTGAGTCACAAGGTGTTATCCAAATCAATCTCATTAGGTTCTTTGGTGTTTAATAAACAATACAAATCTCCATATCTAGTGGAAATAATATCCTAAAATTGGAAGACACGCATCAATCTCACTAGACCATTCAATTCCACAAAGGAACTTAAGATAATTTCCAGCATAAATTATGTCACACAGAACATTAACAGGCAGAGAGGGTTACCCCAGGTGTGTATGGCTTCGTCTCTGGAGGAGCCCATTCATCTGGTACTTTCATGAACTTGTCGAAGTCATCAAATAAATTTACAGAAAATATGTGTGACTTGTCCAACTTATAACCCTGAGTCTTCTCCTTTGCAAGCTCAGCTTCCTAAAAATAGCAGTCAAAACTAGATAAATAACATAATACAGTAAAAAATAAGTAGAATCTAATGAACTTGCCTAATCAGTTATCGATACAAAAAAAAAAGAAGCATTTCTTAAATATTTAACAAACAAAACACATTTAACCACACATTTTGTTCAAATGAAGAAATGCATTTTATTTTAGTATTTCTTCATCTCCTTTGCAAGTTCAGCTTCCTAAAAATAGCAGTAAAAAATAGATAAATAACATAATACAGTAAAAATTGAGTTGAATCTAATGAACTTGCCTGATCAGTTATCGATACAAAAAAAAGAAGCATTTCTTAAATATTTAACAAACAAAACACATTTAACCACACATTTTGTTCAAATGAATAAACGAATTTTATTTTAGTATTTCTTCACCAGCTTTTGTTGGTCTAGAACAAGGGCTCCACCCCCTACTTTTCTTCTTTATCTTCTTCTTTTGTTTTAGTGTTTGCTCCCTAGGTTTTCTTGATGTAAACCATCTCATCATTGGTGTCTGAAACAGGGGTTCCACCCCTTCTTTTCTTCATATTCTTCTTTTACTTTAGTATTTCTTCACCAGCTTTTGTTGGTCTAGAACAGGAGCTCCAACCCCTACTTTTCTTCTTCATCTTCTTCTTTTATTTTAGTGTTTGCTCCCTAGGTTTTCTTGATGTAAAACACCTCATCATTGGTGTCTGAAACAGGGGCTCCACCCCTTCTTTTCTTCTTCATATTCTTCTTTTATTTTAGTATTTCTTCACCAGCTTTTGTTGGTCTAGAACAGAGGCTCCAACCCCTACTTTTCTTCATCTTCTTCTTTAATTTTAGTGTTTGCTCCCTAGGTTGTCTTGATGTAAAACACCACATCATTGGTGTCTGAAACAGGCGCTCCACCCCTTCTTTTCTTTTTTTTTTTATCAATAACACTTTCAGTAAATCATCAATAGAAAATTTACAGGAGGAAGACAAACACACTTATCTTCCAAGAGCCACAAAGAGCCTCATGAAAGGAAAAAAGAAGAAAAAGAGAAAAGAAGACACTAAAGTTGCAGCTTAGCCCAAAACAATGAATCCCTTTCTGCCCTTGTTTAGCTAAATCGTCAGCTAGGGAATTAGCCGATCTTTTAACCCAACATGTCTTAACTTCCATCTCTCGCACCAGCCACATGAATTTCCTCCTCTCATTGTTGTACTTCCATAAACCATTTTGATCATTAGTCAGCCACCCTGTCACCACCTCTGAATCCCCTTCAATTATGAGTTTCTTGATGTTCAACTCCTTAG